TAGTTTAAAATTTATGTATACGTGTAAACTTACACAGCAGTAACTATTATAAAATTTCGAATCCTAAAAAAAGATTTTAAAAGAAAAAAAACAAAAATACTTAAATTAAATTTCAAAATAGAAATGCTAATTTTTTTGGTTTTCAAGTTTAAAATAAAAAATTTTAACTTTGAAAATATAAAAATAAAAAACACACGGAAGTTCTGCATCTAAAATTTAGTTTTTGAGCCTAATTATTTTATAAAACTATCAAGCATTATCTAATTTTATGGAACTATCAAGTATTATCCTTTAAAATATCTTAATTTAAATTATTAAAACTAATTAGATATCCTCATATATAAACCTACATATATAAGTTTCTTTTAAAATTCATCATTTAAATAATATTTAATATTTTGAAGTTTTATAGCAATTTATTTTTTGTTATTTGTATTTAAAAATAAATATTTTTTTAAGGAAAATACAACATATAATCTCTATGTTTTATCCTACTTCTAAACAAATTGAAAAACTCTTAAATTAATATTATTTAAATTATTTATTTTAAAAAGCTAGCTATGGAAGTTTCTTTTAAAATTTATCATTTAAATATTTAAATATTATTGAATATTTTAACTTTTATATCAGTTTTTTTCTTATAAAACATAATCTATGTTCTATCTTTATATATATATATATATATATATATATATATAATCGAACTAATAATATAACCTATAATCTATATGTTCTATCTTTACGTATACGTAAAAAAAAAAAGAACTAATAATAATGATAATAATAATAATATATTAATGTATTAATTTTTTTAAAAAAAAAAACAGCCAACTAAATATGTCGTTTTAATATTATTTTGAAAAAAATAGTAATAATTATCCAACTAACTAGGATGTTTTAAAACTTCCCATTACACTCCCACTTCTAACCAAATTGAAACACGTTTAAATTAAAATTATTTATTTTAAAAAAAAACTCGTATGGAAAAAAAATATGGTGTTTTAATATTTATTTTGTAAAAAAAATAATTACCCAACTAAATCGGAAATTTTAAAACCTCCCATTACACTACTACTTCTAAACAAATTGAAGAACTTTTAAATTAAAATTATTTATTTAAAAAAACCCCACGTATGGAAGTTTCTTTTAAAATTTATCATTTAAATATTATTTAATATTTTAAATTTTATTTCAGGTTTTTTAATTTGCATTTTAAAATAAATATTTTTTTAATAAGATATAACCTATAATCTAAAAAATATAACTAATAATAATAATAATAATAATAATAATCCAAGTATAATGTTATGATAAACATAATTTAATGTCTTCTATGTTTATTATTATTATTATTTATTTATTTATTTTTACAAATTTTCAACCTTAGCACAAGATACATGAGGAATTGTCATAGTAAAAATTATTAAATGATAGTCTTTATCACTATCATAAACATAGAAGGTATTAAGTTATGTTTTCATAATATTTCTTTTAAAGGACAATCAAATTTCAAAATTGGAAAATAATTTTATGAGAAATAAAATTTAACTTTTGAATTTAAGATACATAATATTTATGATCTAGCTAGCGTTAAATTCTATCTTGAACAATATCACTATTATAAGTCATTTAGCAAATTTAAGACTATTCCCAATATTATATAACAACATTAAATTAAGTTGAAAATAGCGATTTTAAAATATACGATAAGCTTTTAATTTTCAATTTTACCTTTTTAAATTTGAATTCAAAGATAACTATAATTACATATAATAAGCTTTATCGGATAAAATTCAAATAAACATCCTCTCATTTATATCCATACGTTTAAAAAATAAAATAAAAAAATCCATATGTTTTCTAATATAATTCAAATTAAAATTTAATATATCATCTACATACATTGATTAAATCTAATATAGTGATTGCACTTATTAAGATTATTTTTAATTTTATATTATATTTTACACAAATTAATACAATAAATAATATTTTGAATCTTTTAAATTTGAATAAACATATATAAAATGTTTCAACATGTTATTTAGTCTTATGCTATCAAATATTTCATATGGAAGGTTAGAATTGATAAATTATTAACATAATTTTTTTATTCAAACTACATAAAAAGAATAATATATATATATATAAATATTTTAATATAATAAATTAAATTAAATTGTGTACTAATGATATTAATTTAATATTGCTTAAATACACAAGTTAATGATTTGTATTATTATTGTTATTACAATAAATTAAATATATTATTTAAGTGCATTATACATTTTATTAGTTATTTTTAATTATAAAATTATTACATTTAAAATCATCCGCACAACGCGCAAGCACGTATACTAGTATATTATATAAAAGAAATATATTGAAAGAGTGAAATTTCTTCAACTCCTGCTTAATGAATTTAAATTACTATCATAATTGAGGTTTCCTCTGAAGCCATAATTTCATTGTCTTATGGCAATTTGTCTATATTTATTATTATACACTCAATTATGTGATTGATGTCTTGTATTTTTTCATGTATATAAATACATCTAAAACTACAAACACTCAAATCCTAAAAAGAAACAAAATCTCTTATTAATATATGTAGTAAATTTGCAAGGATGATATTTACCTACATTTAGGTGGTCAGATCAATGATGTTCATATATGTTGTATGAACGCAGTGTTGATCGATTAAGAATTCACATGTTTATAAAATTAAAGTAGCACAAAGATTTTGAGATGAATGCGTGTGGACATATAAGAAGATATAGCTAGGATTATGAATAAAATACGACAAGGTGGGACTCCATTATGTGATTGATAAAATAAGGAAGGCGAGACTAAGATAGTATGACTCGGATGTGTGAAAAGAAGATATATAAATGTCTCAATGAGGGGGTGTGCGAGACTGACTATGGTGGGGCATGAAGAGAGGTCGTAGGTGGAATAAGTATTGAGAAAGGTAATTAGATAAGACATAATACACTTGCAGCTTACGGAAAACATGAACTTAAATAGAAAAATATACTGATCAAGAATTAAAATAAAAGATCAATAAACAATCGAATGCAACCTAATTTTTCTTATCAATATTATTATTATTACTTTCCTGCTATCTTTTTTAACGAGAGATACAAAAAAGCTTCATTGGTATTCTCTTCTTTTCTTTTGGCATAGGATAGTGAGAAAAATAGTGTTATATAATACAACTAGGATCCAATCCCATGCAAATTTACAATGTTCATATATGTATGTTGTCATTGTCCATATTATTTAATTTATATGTTCATATCAATCTAATATTATAAAAAATATATTAGTTTCTTAAGCATTAGACGTGCATCATATTTTCCAACGATATATATATAATTTTATGTTTATCGTCGAACCTATTGTAATTCTTCTCTTTTATGCCAATATAGAACTATGAAGAAACAACAATGAAATTAAAATAATAATAATGTAACATTTAACTTTATATACTTATTATGTGATAAATCAAAATACACCATATAACTTTAGAACAGATAAAATATTTGTTCTAAATCTTTGGAATGGTGACAATCAAAGGCACAAACTTTGATTATGATTTTGCGTGTTTCATAAAGAGTTTTTCAATTTTTTCATCTTAGATTTACTCAAATTTATTTTAATTTTTTTTTAAGAAAACAAGTAAAATAATTTGTAAAATAAATTTAATACTCCTAAGTAATATAGCAAGTTTATTTGTCTTTTTTCACCGCTTAAACGTGCTCAATCCACATTTCTTGATCATCCTACCCTTAGACTAGTCCGTTTGGATTGATTTAAAAAGTAATTTTTAAGTAAAAAATAAAATAATCAAATTGAAATGACTTTTAAGTTTTAAAAAAAAAAGTAGAGGGAGATCTAATTTTGATTTTTGACTTATTTTAAGTCATTTTTGACTTTGTCAAACACTTTCCAACTTATTTTAATTCATTTTTGACTTATTTTAAGTTATTTTTTATATTTGTCAAACACTTTCAGAAGTGAAAAACTGACTTAAAAATAAATTTGAGCAACTGTATCACCCATCAATTCTTCTTACCAAATGTCATTTACATTTTAGTAGATTATGATTATATATAATTGTTTCTGATAATATTTTTTATTAACTTATAGAACATTAATTTTTTTTTTGTTATTTCAATTAAAAAAATCAGTTATTTATTTAAGAAACATTTTAATTTGTAGGAATACATTCTCCCACTAAACACGCCCTTAATTATCGACATCACTTTCGGCCATAAATGCTGCACTTAAATTGATTTCTGACTTTTTCTTTTTGACTTTTCTAATTTAAAAAAGGAAAAAAAGAAATTTTGGCCAGAAAGGTATTTTACCTATGTTATTTTATCTTTTTGAATATTTTTACCCTTTTAACTTTAATACCTTTTAATTAAAATATGAAAAAAAAATCAACTTATTTTAAAATAAAAATAAAATATTATACACTTTTAAAATTTTCTAGCCATTTGACATTACCCTTTAAAAAATACATATAGAGGCAAAGGAGAACTGAATATGTAGTATGAAATTCCTCAAGTCCCTTCTAAGTTCTAACGCTCTTTTGTACTTTAAAAATTAGTTAGCAGGAATTTATTTTCTTATTGAATTAAAATTCGATCAATAAATATGCTTTTTCTTAGCTTTGTAATTATTAAACATTTTGTTATGTACTTTTACTTAATTGTTAAAATTGTATAAAGAATTGAAACAATCTTGATAGTTTTCACAACTTATGAGATTTTCATGTTTATAGACAAGAAGTACAACTTAAAAATTGTACGTCCAAACCAAACTTCAACTTGATCACATGGCCAAATGACCCTTAATACCAAAAATACCGAATCAAAATGTTTAAAAAGCAGACCAGCAAACCCCCCTAACAGCAAGCAATCTCTCTGAGTTTCAATTGAATGAATTACAATTACACAACATAACAAGACCCGACAAAATTTCAATATCAGAGAACCAAAATCAGGGCATGTGCATAGGATTTTTCTCATAATACATAACATACATACAGTCAAAAAGCATTTTTCTCCTTGTTCTTTTTCATTTTCTTGTTGCTTTGAAGAGCCCCAGGTGACAGACGATGGAGAGGTGATTGTGTACCAAATATTGGGAGGGTCATTTCAATAGCAACAAAAGAGAGGAGGAGTTACTCATTCTGAGTGTCTGCTAGACTATCAGGGACAACATTGACAGGCTGACTTTCTTCATCTTGAGATTGAGCAGCTGAAACCTTAGCCTTTTTGAAACGGCTAGAGTTTCTCAGAATCATCTCCATGGTTAGGGCCTCACCCAAAAAGCTGTTGGAATATTCAGTGTGATCATAAGCACCAGAAATGTGATAAATAAAGAAGTCCACATATAACTTAGAAAAACTCATTGTCTAATTCAAAATGTACTAAAACAATTTGCTCTAACACCAGAGTTATCTAAATATTCACATCTCAATGACTAGACTCTAGAGTATCTCTTTGGAAACATGTCATCTTCAAGTTTTCTCCACCTGTCATTAACAGTTTTTACCAATCATATATTGATCATTCATTGTTGTGCACAAGTGACATGATGACAAAATAGAGCAATGTTCTCTTTTTGATAAAATGATAAATAGGCAACGTTAAGAGATCATAGCTTAAGTTTTCTCCACCAGATCAAGCTACCGCCTAGTGTTTCAGAGCAAAATATAGAACAAAGTGTAGGAAAAAAAGTTCAGCCATGGATGCATACCCCCGGAGAACCCTCAATTGCCCATGGGCGTGTATACCCGGAATACCCCCACCCCACCCCCAACCAAAAAACAAAACAAAAAAAAGATCTATTGACTTATTTAGTCGCAAGAACTTGGAAACAAGGTAAATCATAGAGGACTGGTTCATAATCAATGATCTACCATTAGAAAAGAACCATGTTTAACAAAGGTCTTAAGGGAAAAATGAAGAGATCTCACTTACTTTGATTTGAGCTTATGCTTTCCAGCAGCAGCAGCATTGGTTTTTGCAACATTAGCTCCTACCAAGTCAACATAGAAAGTAGAAATTAGCTTATAAAAGGAATGAAGATAGAGAGAAACAGGAAATCATGAAATGTATTTTGAAATATATATATATATATATATTTCATTTATTATTTATCCATAGAGAAATAAGGGGTCCTTAATACAATTTAAATCTTTAGAATTATGATTTTGGCATGCCATAGGAATGACTAAGTCCACGACCACAAAGAAATGAAGAACTTCCTCTTTCCCTTTCAACAGTTACTGCAAGGGGAGGGCGATTGAGTGAGAGAATTGAATTAGGTGCTGTTTGGAAATTAAAAGCATTGCCGACCCCGAACTCAATGCTTATGTTGACTAACCTTGTGTTTAGCAAAAAAATTTCAATTGGTTTGATAGGATATTATACCGAGCCTCACAGATTGTCAACCAGCCTAACATGAGTAACATTTCTTTGTTCAAGTAAAAGGTCTCAAATTTGTGTGGATGTAAAACAGAATAAGAACATACAAGACTGTGTGCTTATGTTGCCGGATCTTATGTTTAGCAACATTTTCAATTAATTAAATAATAGGATATTACACCATGCCTCACAGATGGTTTACCAGCCTAACAAGAGTAACACAGCTTTGTTTGAGTCAAAGGTCTCAAATTTTTTGTGAAGGTCGATGGAATAACATAAAGGAATGTCAAGACATGAAAAGAAAAAACAAGCAAATCAAATTTGTAATTTTACCTCCTGGAGTTGAAGCCTGACTTATTTCACTTCCTTCAACTGAGCTGCCAGAAGAAGATGAATCCGATAGAGTGTCAGTCGTAGAATCAAAATCTCCACCCTCTTTACTGTCGGACCTTCTCGATCTACTATCCCCAAACTTAGGCCCTGGATTAGGAAGCAATCCTTTCTTTGGTTGTGTAAAATCCTCGATGTTTGCAGTCCTAATTTTTGTATTTGTGGTAGACAAACTTTGGATTTCTGAACCTGTTTGCCGTCTATTGTCCTCAAGGAATTTGCCAGGACCTTTTGAGCTGGAGCTGGACCTAGATTCGTCCATAGATTCTTCATTTTTCTTCTTGTAAGCAGGAGCATCATAAGTTGCAAGCTTTCCAGCTTCTTCGAGTGTTTTATCTCCCTGACTCGGAAGTGCCACCTCAATTCTTGATTTCGAGATATCTTCCGAAAATCCTCTAGAAGTCATACCACCCTTAGATTTTCTGCTAGCTTTTGTGTCTCTGTTTGGTTTCATTGGTTTCTTTGATGCAACTTCTCCTTGTTGGCCAGGAACAAAATATTGCTTGAAGTTTATGGCGTCACTCTTATCAGTATTTACATGAGGTTCGTGCATCTCCTCTAACGCACCCTTAGTTAAAGCATGTGATGGCACTGGAAATGAGTCAGCATTTCTGATATCTTCCCTAGAACTCTCGAAGTCAGAATGAATACCAGAATTACTCTGATTTTCCAACTTGTTACCACCATACTGATCAACATGAATATTTTTACCTGACTCATCCATCTCCATTGGCTCTGGCAGAGGGTTCACATCTTCCAGATTATCATTTGAAGCTTTTAAGTCTTTGTGACTGCCTTCCTGATCTTGAATAGACAAAATGGATTTTCTCTTCTTAGAACTTTGGCTCTTTTTGGTTTTCGTTTTTAGCCTCTTTTCTGAAATGCTCAGAGTCTCCTGATTTTTATCACTCTGGTTAAGCCGCAAATGCTCAACCTCATTTCCCTTCTCCTCAATGAGCAGAAGTTGTGGCTCAGTGCAGGTTGCTTTCTCAACTTGGTGTTGAGAACCTACATCATAGGTACTCTTTGACACTTGTTCTGATGCTCCCTTTCTTTTGCTGGCAGGCATTGCATTTTTATCTTGATTAGACCCTTCAACGAAATGATTAACAGAAGTATCACGCGTCGCTGAAGGGGCACATGAAACATCATTAATATGAGTGGAAACCTCCATTTTTGTTTTTTTATTTTTACGTCGACCAGAGTTTCCATGTCCTTCAGCAACCTTCACACCAGAGGGAGCTGTCGAGATAGTTTCCACTTCCTTGATGTTCATTTCTGCCTTGGAAGTATCCAAAGATCTGCATGCTGCAGATTGAACTTGGGGCGACCCTTTCACCTCTGTATTTAGACTAATCTGCAGCACTTCCGCATCAAACGAAATTTCACCTTTCTTACTCTGCCCAGTTACAGGATCAGTTGTAGATCCAATCCCTTCAGCTAAAGAGGGGCAGTTCACCGTACTGTCATCCTCTCCGTTTAATTTAACAGGAATCTTTTCAGCAGATTTCCTCTGACTCTTTTTCTTTCGCTTCATGCTGCTAGCATTTCCAGATTCAATGTTCTCCTTGTCATCCAATTCCCTTTTTGCTGAGAGAACTTGTTCTTTAGTATCCCCAGTTGGTTCATTGTTATTTAAAAGAGGGGATGTCTCAGCACCTTGAGTAACTGACAACTTGCCTTCGATCCCTATTTCATTTATATGATCCACATCAATTTTTGGCATACTACCAACCTTTGTTGTTGCATCACTTGAACCATCATTACGGACTATATCTTGGTCAGATGCATAAGCATTTTGAGAAGCCCCAACAATATTTTTCATATCTAACTCCTGATGAGAAGTTGACTTCTTGGCCCTGCTTCTCTTCCTCCCAAAGCTATTTTCTGATTCACCTATGACCTTGGCAACTTCCTTGTGTTTCACGATGGAGCTAGATGCCAAGTTCCCATTAGCTGGGTAAGATTCAGTAGTATCAAAAACCTTCTGCTTATCCATTGCATTGAATGAATCACATGGGAGAAGATTTTCAGCTTCAATTTGCGGATACGCGATGCAAAGTAACCCTTGGTCATTTTCAAGGCATTGAAATCTAGAAGCATCAACAGAAAGGAACCATTCCTTTTTGGTACCCTCAAAAACACCTCTAACAAGCATAGTGTCAGGCAGATGATAGTAATGTCTTTTTCGTTTCACCTAATAGGAATTATGAAAAGTGTCATGACACAAGAAATATACACAAAAACAGTGAGCTGGAGAGGAACAAACCTTCACAGAAGAAATCTTCAACTCACTCATTTCAGGAAAACACCTCAAGTGTTCAAACACGAGCTTTTCTGCATAACACAAACATGATGTATATCAGTCAAACAACTTTTTCGTATAGCATTCCTTGCTCAAATATCAACAATTTTCAGTAAAATTTCGTACTACAAATACAAAATTAACCAAGAATTATACGCAAAGTGAGTGAAAGAGCAATTGATATGCCTCTTTTCTAATCCTATAAACTTTTACTCTTTCAAGCAATTTAGACTATTGAAACAACAAGATATCAAAATAGTGCAGAGGATTTATACCACCAATTTTAACAATTTTGAGATTGATGTACAACAGTTGTTAGTTTAGCTGCATTTGTTAACCTACACAGAGAGAGAGCCAACAAACAGATAGAGCTAGAATCTAGATGGATGAAAAAAGGGGAATTACTTTTAAGATCGGAGATAGTATCGGAATCGGAGACAATTAGAGCCAAGTGGGTATCAAGATTGGTATCTATGAAAATCGTTTTGTACGACGTCGTATTTTCCGTTTCCGTTGCTCCATCGGAAACAATTTCTTCGCGACGTCGCTTCACCATGATTGCGCCGCCAACCACGACGGCCGGAAAATCTGACGATCAGAAGCAGAAATGGCCAAAGGGTTTTAGCTCCGAGGATGCTATTACAGAAAGTGAAGGGTTTAACGGCCGATAAAAGGGGTTTTGCCGCCAACAAATTAATGGGCCGGACTTGCTTTATCAACAGCCCAAATCCTATAAAATAGGGAATTATTAGGAAATTTTTACCTCTAAACTTATTATCGATATACTAGTTACGTGTATGTGTTTTGCACCTGAACATGCATAAATTAATATTGTTTTCATTCATTTTTATTAGTCATATTTAGATTTTTTTCATGTCTATTATAAAAATAATACTCAATTGACATGACTAGTTTACTACATTACTCTTACTAATTGAAGTTTAATATTAAGTCTTGGAAAACGATTTGGACAATAAATACTCATTAATACTAACGATAGAATATGAGAGAAAATAATTGTCTTTTCTTGATATGTTAAAAGCGATAAGTTAAAAGGATTTGAAACAGGGGACAAGTAAAAGTGAATGGAGGGATAAATATATATTAAAAGAACAAATAATTATTGTGTGTACATTGCATTATTACTTACAAAAAATTCATAAAAATTATCGTAGACGATAAAATTTATGTTGAAAAAATAATAATTAAGATCGAAAGATATCGCAACAGTCATAATATTTTATTTCAAATATGAACCCCTTAGATTTCACGGCTATTAAGACCTTTTTGGGTAGGAGTAATACAAATATAATAGCATCATCTCAATGATCTTGTATATAGTTTAGGATGCCTAACTCAATTTTTAACCTTTTGTACTCTTAGATCATGAATGAAGGCAATATTTTGAAAAAGAAGAAGAGTAAGTTGGAACTAATATTGAAGCATATTGTAGACAAAAAATATAGATATAAGATATGATAATTTTTTCTTATTATTCTCTCTTAAATTTTAAGTGTACACGTATGCAAATGTTCAAGTATATCAATCTCATTTACCATGCCCCATTGATACTAGGGATCCCTTAATACTATTACATAGAGAGTTATAATAAGATAACATAAAGCATCAGAGATAATTGAGGAGGTTATGAAAATGTAAGCTAACAAGAATAAAGGTAATGAATAGGGGGGAAGTTGATTATATTTGTAATTATGCAGTGGACAACTAAAGCGAATGTATTTTACAACACTTCTCCTGATGTCTAGTTACAGATAATATGCCGATGTCTAGTTACATATAATATGCCTCGTTAAATCAAATCAGGAAAAATCTAGCGAGAAAAAAATATATATCTACATTGTAATACACATTAATTATTACTTCATTGAAAACCTTGTCATGAAATTCAGTAGAACAAAATCTTGGCTAAGGAAAAAAAGCACAATGCCTATTTACTCCTCTTGATAAAAACATCATTTTATATTTCAAAAAGGACTAATATCTATCCTGTATACATTAAATTTATTGAAGATTATGCTTGTAAACACCATTTATGAAGGCAATTAAGTTTTAATCCTCCTATTAAGGCCAATGGAGAGGCGCCATGCATCAAGAAGAGGTTGAGGCAACAAAGAAGCAAACGACCATTGAATTGAATGTGGCCAATAAGGCATGCTCCTCCAACCATATCCTATTTGTGCTACTCCTGCTTTTGCATACTTCTCTGGTGTTGGACTAAACAATGATGATTTCTCTATGCTTGCAACTCTTGAAGTCATCTTTGTTTTAACATATAATGGTACCTAATTAACATATATTAACTTTATCCTCAGACCTTACTTGTAAAATTTATATTGAATATATTATAAACAAATGTTTCTGATTACAAACTTTTAAATATACATAATTTTATAAAAATTCAAGAGTCAACAATAGTAGTAACTAGTTAATTCTAAATATAATCCTTTCACATGGTACATACAATATTTTCGTGCCGAGCATGAGTTTTTTTTTTTTTTTTTGTAAAATTTAAAATGATAGTTTTCTTTAACTAACAAAAGATGTATAAACTAATAGGTGAAGTTTCACAATTTTTTTTTTTAAAAAAGATTGAAAACATGATTTGGAATCTCGAATCAAGTTTTTTTTAGGTTTGAAGAATTTGAGATTAAAATCATAATTTCAAGTCATTATCCCATATGACATATCCAAATGTTGATTTAAAATCATGACTTTATATCGCATGTCCAAACGCGAGCTAAGATGTTAATTGCTTGAATTGCATACTAATCATATAAGGTAATAGTACAGAAAATTATTAAAATAATACTTAAAGAGTTGTCTGGTAGAGAAAAAAATGATAATTCTGTGCGTAATTGTAAGACATAAATATGGTCAAGTTAATTACTTCTTATAAAGTAATTTCAAGTAAAAGAAGTGGAAATTATGAGTTAATTAGTACCTGACACTGCACATCTATGCCATAGTGTTTGTATTCAACGTATAAACATCTTGAAAACTGATCGATATACCTGTAATTAATATTTTTATTCAATTTTAGTTAATATGATAATACATCATTAATCAAATTCACGCAGTACATAATAATATGAGATAATATTAATCTCTAAAGAACCTATTAGTTTTCGTTTGGAAATTAAATTACTTCATTATGATTTAGAAGCAATACAACACTTTTACCTTTTTACCTTACTCTCTAAGCAATACAATACATCCCCTTTCGGATACATCACTCTCATCTCATTGATACATTTTTTCCCCCCCTCTCGGATACATTCCTCACCTATGTATCTGGATGTTTACTGATGTATTCGAAAGTCTAGTGATGTATCTGGATGTCTTATCCCCTCTTTGATACATCCCTTCCCTCTAGGATACATCCCTCACCTATGTATTCGGATGTCCGCTGATGTATTCGGAAGTTTAATGATGTATTCAAAAGTCTAGTGATGTATCCGAAATTCATAAATGTGAAGAGACTTTTGTAATTTAAAAAATAGTAGGAAAATAATGTAATTAGCTCTTAACATTATGAGATTTATGCAGGTTATACAATTTTCAATGACAATTAATGAGCCAATATGAGTTTAAGCCTTAAAGGTAATGTGAAGACTTTATAACTTTTTTTAATCAATTAAGTGTGATAGCTCAATGGTCAAAGTGGATCCGTTCCACTAAATGGTAGAGATCGGACCCCAGTCTCATGGATGATTACTTTTGCGTGTATCAGCAGTACAAGGATATTTTATACTCCCTGTAAATGCATTGTTAATTATGTAAGTATTAATTTCTACTCATCAATTTATATATAAATAATTTTTTTCAAAATTAACAGATACACATACACTCGATAGATTCATGTCTAAGTATAAATGAAGTCAAAGCCTGTTGTGTCCGTGCAGAAAGCCACCTAAAACCTATAGGCCACCATTAAGTGCTACATTTTGACTTTTGCAGTACGACCACCATTAAGTGCTACATTTTGACTTTTGCAGTAGGACCACCCCTCCAACTAGTTAAGGGTTTTCTAATTCAATTGTTTAATTTGTTAAAAAATATATTTATGAGTTAGAATTTAAAATTTAAAATGTAGGTAATAATATATCAAATAATATTTTTAAACTTTATGATCTTCAATGTACTATGCTAGATAGGTTTCTTTTTTTGGTCAAAAGAGTAGATAGATGTTGGATGTATGTAAAGAATATACATTAAATATAAAAATAACATTGTCCTTAAAACAATTTAATTTTAAAAAAAAAACAAGACAAATAATTAAAATGTAATTTTTATGTACATAATTTTGACTTTTAAAAAAAAAGTATTTTTCTACTTTCTTCGATCAATTTTACTTGAGTACTATTTAACTACGTAAAATAGTATTCCTACCATTCCTTTTTAGTTGCCACAATTTTCTTTTTAAAAGTAAAACGATATAAAAATTGATTAATATTTTAAGATTTTTTTTACAAAAATGATATTTATATGAAAAAATTACAGTTTATGGAGTAGTACTTTTTGTAGATCAAAATTTTTATTTTGAAATATCAATTTAATGTAATCTAGTTTAACTTTAAAAATTAACTAATTTAATTATAATTATAAAAAAGCACAATATGACAACTAAACAAAAAGTGTAATAATTACATCTAGAAATTAAAAACATATTATTAATCAGATTAATTTAATAAAATATATTTTGAATTAAAGCTTTCATCAATAATATATTAAGTCAACATGAAACAGACTGCATAGTAGTTAAATGTTATTTTGAGGGATAAGTATTGAAAACACCTTTCACTTAACTAACTGAACTTAAATACACCCCGATCTTATAACATGAGTGAAATACACCTTAAATTCTCGTCAAGTTTAAGGGCGTTTCCAACACTGATCTCGACTTTTTATTAAGAGTTAGATGCCATACTTGACTTTGACTTGTAGCAGTAGATGCGAATGAGACTGCTCCTTACAAAAAGATGAAGTTTAATTTTAAGTGATATCGACTTTCTTCTGCTTTCCCTTTTAATTTGTTTTTTTTTTATATTCTTAATTTTTATATATAATATGATATATTTAAAATTATAAAATTAAATGATATTTTGATATATTTTACATATTTTTAGATTAAGATCACAATATTTAAAATTTTTATTACTTTCTTAAACACCATGCCAAAGAATTGATTGAGGAAGGGTTTTGGTGGTTGGGGCTTACAACTTACAAGACACTAGAAGAGCCAAAGTTTTTGTTTTTGTTTACGTTTAAATGTGACAGTTCTATGAGTGTGGTCCTTGAAAAGTAATATCATATAGAAAGAAAAAAAAGAGAGTCTAGAAGCAAAAAAGCTTTAATCGGATGTGTGAGAAGTATCGAAAATACTCTTGAACTTAGCATAAAATAAGAGTTTCATCTCCGTACTAGTGACAACCTTAAAAATACTCATTTGATTGACTAACTAATTAAACTTGATCAATACACTCTCTGGATATGCCACATGACATAGCAAGTGGTCTCAAACTCTTGTAGAAGCAT